TCATGCACATGCCTGCTGAGGTCAGCAGTGTGGTCCTGGGCTGGGAGGGGCGGGAGGATCTTGGCTTGCCATCGTGATGGGAGCTCCCTGCTCCCTGCTTCTCAGGCCCCACCTCTCCTCCTGTTCTTGCTCTTCTCAGCAAGCCTTTTGGTGCCTGGTACAGATCTGCGACAAGTACCTCCCAGGCTACTACAGTGCAGGGCTGGTGAGTGTTTGGAGGCTGGGTGCATCCGGGGCTGTGGCATTTCCTCCAGGCTGCAGGGAGGTCCCTGCCTGCCTTGCCCCATCCTGGCCTTCTGGGCCTCTGCCCACAGGGCCAGTTTTCCTGAGGCGGACACAGGTGACTTGGCCCTCTTCTCATGGCTCGTCCCACCTGCAGGAGGCCATTCAGCTGGATGGAGAGATCTTTTTTGCGCTCCTGCGCCGGGCCTCCCCGCTGGCACATCGGCACCTTCGGCGGCAGCGGATTGACCCCGTGCTCTATATGACGGAGTGGTTCATGTGCATCTTTGCCCGCACCCTGCCCTGGGCATCAGTGCTGCGTGTCTGGGACATGTTTTTCTGTGAAGGTACTTTTGTGGCCCGCCAGGCCATAGGTGGCTGGGGTTTCTATGGTGGCTACCAGGGGTCTTGTCATGTTTCTGGTAGTCCAAGGACTAAGGGTACTTGTCGAGTGGAGGTTTCATCATAAGCAGCTGGGGGCTGGAGAAACTCCTGATTTGGTTCTGCCACCAAGCTAGAGCCTGCTCTTCCTACCAGGAGCCTGAGACTGACGGCAGCTCATTTCCTTTCTTAGGGCCTCAGTTTCCTCATCTGAGATTGGCAGTAGATGGGGATGGAGGCTGTGAGTCTGTCCTGATCAGGACAGGCTGAGATGCTGTGTCTGACCACCCCATGCTCTCTATTCTCCACCCCTGCAGGTGTTAAGATCATCTTCCGGGTGGCCCTGGTGCTGCTGCGCCACACGCTGGGCTCAGTGGAGAAGCTGCGCTCCTGCCAAGGCATGTATGAGACCATGGAGCAGCTGCGCAACCTGCCCCAGCAGTGCATGCAGGAGGACTTCCTGGTGCATGAGGTAGGCCTGCGGCCTCAGCACACTCCCTGCCTGCCTCAGCCCACTCCCACCCTCAGCTCCATTCTGTTATGCACTTCCTCTCCCTCCAGGTGACCAATCTGCCAGTGACAGAAGCACTGATTGAGCGGGAGAATGCAGCCCAGCTCAAGAAGTGGCGGGAAACACGGGGGGAGCTGCAGTATCGGCCCTCACGGCGACTGCATGGCTCCCGGGCCATCCATGAGGAGCGCCGGCGGCAACAGCCACCCCTGGGCCCCTCCTCCAGCCTCCTCAGCCTCCCTGGCCTCAAGAGCCGAGGCTCCCGGGCAGCTGGAGGGCCCCCCTCTCCGCCGCCCCTCACCCGCAGGGCCAGCGCTGGGCCTGCCCCAGGGCCTGTGGTCACTGCTGAGGGACTGCATCCATCCCTTCCCTCACCCACTGGCAACAGCACCCCCTTGGTTTCCAGCAAGGAGACCCGGAAGCAGGAGAAGGAGCGGCAGAAACAGGAGAAAGAGCGGGAGAAGGAACGGCAGAAACAGGAGAAGGAGCGAGAGAAGGAGCGGCAGAAGCAGGAGAAAGAGCGGGAGAAGCAGGAGAAGGAACGAGAGAAGCAGGAGAAGGAACGGGAGAGGCAGGAGAAGGAGCGGCAGAAGCAGGAGAAGAAGGCTCAGGGCCGGAAGCTTTCACTGCGTCGAAAGGCAGATGGGCCCCCAGGCCCCCACGATGGCGACGACAGGCCCTCAGCAGCTGAGGCCCGGCAGGACGCTTACTTCTGACCTCTGCCCTGGGGCTGGACTGCATGGCCCCCCTCTTTCCCTCAGCCAAGAGCAGGCCTGGCCCGAGGTGCCACCCCCTGGCCCCTTGGCAGGCTGTCCCTCACTGGGGAAAGTAGCTTGGTTCCCTGTCTCCTCACCAGCTGCTGATCCCTACACAAGCAAGACAGATGGGCAGCTGCAAATGAGTCTGGAGCTTCTCACCTCCCATGAGACTCAGCTGGGGTCTCTGTCACTCCTGCCCCATTTCCCTCCAGGTCCCCTCCTAGGTGCTGTCCTGATTGGCCCGTTGTCATCCCAGGGGTGACTCCTGGTGATGGGAGTCAGCAGTTTCAGATTTTTACACTCCATGGCTCCCCTTATGATGAGGTGGAGCTGGCTTCCTTTTCCCCGTCTTCAGCCCTGCCTGTCTTCTCCACTTCCTGGCCAGGGCTCTCCTGCTGGACCTCTCTGTGTTGTAATTATGTACAGAGGATGGGGTTGGCCCTGGGTCGGGGAGTGGGGGTCTTGCTTGTCTTCTGTCCTTTGGTTCTCCTTCCATAATGCTCCTATACCCAGTTTATTTAAGGGGACATGCACTGGAATAGGAAGTGTCCCCCATCTCCCTTCCTGCACCCTGCTGTGTGCTCCCTCCAAACCCACCTTGCTGTGTTCTCGGGCCCTCCTGCTCTGTCTCATCAGGACCCTACCTTTCACCTTGTTCCCTTCTACCCCTCCAGTTACTCCCTATCTGGGTAAGGGTCTTCTCTTGAGCTCCAGGGGGTGGAACCCAATGTTTACATTCTCTTCTGTCTCTGCCCCCACCCCATGCAGTGCTTTGAAGAATCAGAAAAGAACCTGCTGTTGTACCTGGGCCTGTCTCCTGCCTTGTTATTTGATGGGGGGATGGGGGAAGGACAAGGGAGGGAGGGACAGAGCCAGGACCTGGGTCTCTGTTGCAGCAGTCTGCTCTCTTGGCAAGTAGGTACCTCTTGGCTTTGGGTTCATCTCTCAGTCACTCATCAAACAGTGGTTAGCTTCTGCTGCACTTTGCCTGGGATTTGCTGTCTCCATTGTCACTGGCTGCCTGGAGCCCTCTATGTACCACCTACAGCACCCGGATCTCCTTCCCAAAATGCTCATGCAACTCCTGGAAGCTGGAGGGGGTACTCACAGTGGCTAGAGGGCCATGGTCCTCTGGGGGTGAGCTCGGCTCTTGGCCAGCTGTCTGGCACAGCTCTGGGTATTCGGCCTTGAGGGGTGGCAGCAGTCCAGCTAGCCGCCTCCAGCTCACGCCAGCCAGTGCCTACAGCCAAGTCTCCAGCTCCTTCTGGGTTTCTGCAGCCAGCTTGTAGGCCCGCCCAGCTGTGCCCTTGACCTCAGGGGTCAGGATGGTAAAGGCATAGGGTTCTGTGGCCTGAAGGCGTGGCTCCACCTGGCAGTTCTCCAACAGGATGAGGCCCAGGGGTGTGTGGTCGGTGTGGTGTTCTAGGTAGAAGAGGAGGTTTCCCTGGAAGATGAACCATCGGCCCTGGTAGCTAGGGTTTGAGGTCCCCTTCTTTAGCAAGATACCTTCCTGGTCTGGGGCCTGTGTTCTGTAACCGTGAAAGAAACAGCACGGACTTTCTGTGCAGTTTCATCGTGATCCAATATGGGAGGAAATGCCTAGGGAGAGAGAAGTGGCCCATCTAGTTGTCTTGGGGAATGGTCGGGGGGACTCCCATGCTGTCCTGGTCTGGCTCCAGCAGATGCTGCCTGGGCATGGTCTTGGCTTAGGGGGATGCAGGCTTCAAGTGTCAAGAGCTAAAGGTCCCAGCACAGGGGCTGACTCCCCCACTTCCCCCAGTCCCACCTCTGCTTGGGCCACATTCTGTTACCTGGGCAGCAGTTGCTAGGCCCTTTTGCTCAGGGGGGCTTCGTGCTGCAGAGTGGCACTGTTGCCGTTTTCCAGGCCTACCTGAGAGCTGGGCACAAGGGGCTTCTGGCCTGGGTACTGGTGCCAATGCCACTTCTCCAGTGATGGCTCTCCTACCTCAAACCAGGAACTCACCCAGGCAATGGGCGTGGGACACATGACTTCTCCTGTGTCCTAAAGGGTGCTGTGTTCAGAAAGTGCCCCGAGAGCCAACCAGAGGCCCCAGGTTGGCCATCTGGCCATCAGGAGAGCCAGGCTTCCCCTCGGGGAGGGCAAGGCTGCACTTTGGCTAGGAGGGCTGACCACTGGACCATAGGAGTGGGAAGGCATGATTTCTCACTCTGTCGCCCAGGCTGGAGTGCAATGATGCGATCTCAGCTCACTGCAACCTCTGCCTCCCGGGTTCAAGCGATTCTCCTGTCTTAGCCTCCCGAGTAGCTGGGATTACAGGCGCACGCCGCCATGTCCGGCTAATTTTTTGTATTTTTAGTAGAGACGGGGGGTTTCACCGTGTTCCCCAGGCTGGTCTCGAACTCCTGAGCTCAGGCAATCCACCCGCCTTGGCCTCTCAAAGCGCTCGGATTACAGGCGTGAGCCACGGTGCCCGGCCCGAAGGCAGGATTTCTTTTCTTTTTTTTTTTTTTTTTTAGCCCAAGTCTCGCTCTGTTGCCCAGGCTGGAGAGCAGTGGCGCGATCTCAGCTCACTGCAACCTCCGCCTCCCGGGTTCTTGCAACTCTCCTGCCTCAGCCTCCCGAGTAGCTGGGACTAGAGGCGTATGCCGCCACGCCCGGCTAATTTTTTTGTAGTTTAGGAGAGTCGGGGTTTCACCGTGTTGCCCAGGCGGGTCTTGAACTCCTGAGCTCAGGCAATCCGCCCGCCTTGGCCTCCCAAAGTGCTGAGATTACAGGCGTGAGTGACCGCGCCCGGCCGAAGGCAGGATTTCTAACGAGACGGTAGGGGCTCAGAGCCCTTGGCCCTGGGGGAAGGGTGACTCGAACCCAGGACAGGAAGATAGGTAAGCAACCCAGTGGCCCTGCTCAGCCTTTGCTCCTCCATCCTGACCCAGATGCGCTCCACTTTTTCTCCGGAGCCTCTACTGCTCAATGAGGGAATCCAAGCTACTTCCGGCCATTTCTCACGCCGGGTCAGAGTCTAGGAATTCTTAAGTCTCCTCTTTTTGCCACTGTCCGCCCAGGCGACTGACGTCACTTCTGGCGTAAGAAAGGGTGGAGGTGTCTTCCCTCGCTCACCGCGTACTTCCGCCCGCTCTTCCAGTTGGTCCTCTAACCGGAGTGAAGCCACTTCCGGTCTCCCGGCGCCTTCCGCAGTCCTCTTCCGGGTGATGGCGGCCGGGTGCCCCGGATGTAGCCCCTGGCGCAAGCATCTCTCCTTTTTTCCACCCTACCTCCCGCGGATCCCCAGGTGAGCGCGCGAGGGTGGGACCGTCCGAATCCCCGTGGCCCTCTAATTTGTACACAGCCCGGGACAGTTGGAGCTCACCACACGGAATTGGGAGTTTGGAGCAGGGAGGAATGGGGCGGCGAGGGCGCCAGGTCCTGGGTCCGCCTGGGCCCCGCGAGCTCTGAGAGAGCCTGGGTAGGAGGCGGGAGTCAGCCCGTCGAGCCCGGTGGTACCCAGACTGTGGGGGCTGGGTTTGGGGGTGGTCACGTGGTGGAGCCTGTCTCCTTTTGGCCGGGGTCTGGGGATCCAGAGGGATCGCCCCTCCGTCCCCACCTCACTTAATTCGAGGATGCCAGACCAAGTACCAGGGGCCTTCTGGCTTCCAGCTCCCTTTCCGCCCCTGCTTTTGTGCTCCCTTCCCTCTCAAACTGTACTTGTCACCAAGAAAAATGTTTGCTGTGCCGGGAATACTCTGGCGGCGAGTCCCCTCCTCACCCTGTTCTCTTCCTCTGCATCCTTTCCTCAGCTTGAGGAACGCCTCCTCTGCCCTGTCATGCCAAAGAGGAAAGTGACCTTCCAAGGCGTGGGAGATGAAGAGGACGAGGATATTAGTGTCCCCAAGAAGAAGGTGAAGGGACCAAACTTCTTCGTGTGGGGGAAAGAGAGGAGCTAGAAGCCTGAGGAGGAAGAGAGCTGGGCAGGGCAGGGCGGGCTGGCAGAGAAAATCCTAGTTTTTCCAGGTTCTCTGTGGAATGGATTGGAAGCATCTTCAATGTGGGTCCTGAAATATTTGGGGAAGTAGGGCTGGGCGCGGTGGCCCACGCTTGTAATCCCAGCACTTTGGAAGGCCGAGGAAGGCGGATCACCTGAGGTCAGGAGTTGAAGACCAGCCTGGCTAACATGGTGAAACCCCATTTCTACTAAAAATACAAAAAATTAGCCAGGTGGTGGCAGGCACCTGTCCCAATTACTCGGGAGGCTGATGTGGGAGAATCACTTGAACACAGGAGGTGGAGGTTGCAGTGAGCTGAGATCAGCCATTGCACTCCAGCTCGGCCAACAAGAGTGAACTCTGTCTCAAAGAAAAAAAAAAATATCTGGGGAAGCAGTCGAGATCCTGAAATATTTGGGGAGTATTTGGGTCCAGATCCGGAAGTATTTGGGGAGGTAGCCAGTAACCTGCATTTCTTGACTTCCTGGCTCCTGCTCACAGCTGGTGGACCCTGTGGCTGGGTCAGGGGGTCCTGGGAGCCGCTTCAAAGGCAAACACTCTTTGGACAGCGATGAGGAAGATGATGATGATGGGGGGTCCAGCAAATATGACATCTTGGCCTCAGAGGATGTAGAAGGTGAGCTGTACCCGAGAATACACTCTACTGGAGGCTCAAGTAGAGGCCTCTGGTGGTGTGAAGTGAGGGAGGCCCGGTCTCTTTTTTTTCATCCCTAGCAAAGGACACCCCTGTCTTTGGTGCAGGTCAGGAGGCAGCCACACTCCCCAGCGAGGGGGGTGTGCGGATCACACCCTTTAACCTGCAGGAGGAGATGGAGGAAGGCCACTTTGATGCCGATGGCAACTACTTCCTGAACCGGGATGCTCAGATCCGAGACAGCTGGCTGGACAACATTGACTGGGTATGGCCCAGGGGCTGGCGTGGCTGGGGCCAGGGAGTGGCAGAGCTGCTGGTCCTGCTCCCATGGCAGTTTGTGGGAAATCACTCCCCCTCTTCCCATTACAGGTGAAGATCCGGGAGCGGCCACCTGGCCAGCGCCAGGCCTCAGACTCGGAGGAGGAGGATGGCTTGGGCCAGACCCCAATGAGTGCCCAAGCTCTCTTGGAGGGACTTTTGGAGCTCCTATTGCCTAGAGAAACAGTAGCTGGGGCACTGAGGCGTCTAGGGGCCCGAGGAGGAGGCAAAGGGAGCAGCAAGGGGCCCGGACGACCCAATTCCCCACAGCGCCTGGACCGGCTCTCTGGGTTGGCCGACCAGATGGTGGCCCGGGGCAACCTTGGCGTGTACCAGGAAACGAGGGAACGGTTGGCCATGCGGCTGAAGGGTTTGGGATGCCAGACCCTGGGAGCCCACAATCCCACACCCCCGCCCACCCTGGACATGTTCGCTGAGGAAGTGGCAGAGGGGGAACTGGAGACCCCAACCCCTACCCAGAAAGGAGGTGAGCTTGGAGGACACAGGAGGGGGCACTGGGCAGGAGGCAGAGACACTGGAGGCCAAATGGCTTTGCCTGTTACTTTAGAAGCAGAGTCACCGGGAGATGGTCTGGTGGATGTGATGTGGGAATATAAGTGGGAGAACACAGGGGATGCCGAGCTGTATGGACCCTTCACCAGCGCCCAGATGCAGGTGAGCCGCTTTCCTCCTCCTGCCTTGTCCCTGCTGCCCCAACTCCTGTCAGTCCTTCCCCAGCTCTGCCCTCTCCTTGCAGACCTGGGTGAGCGAAGGCTACTTCCCGGACGGTGTTTATTGCCGGAAGTTGGACCCCCCCGGTGGTCAGTTCTACAACTCCAAACGCATTGACTTTGACCTCTACACCTGAGCCTACTGGGGGCCCAGCTTGGTGGGCCCTTCTTTCCTGGACTTTGTGGAGGAGACCCCCAAGTGTCTCAGGCAGTGAGGAAATTGGAGGCCATTTTTCAGTCAATTTCCCTTTTCCAATAAAAGCCTTTAGTTGTGTATTAGGGCCTTGGCTGTACTGACGGCCGGAAGCCAGGGGTCTTCTCCACAGCCCCTTTGGACTCACCTTGGTCCCTGAGTGTTTGCTCCCATGAAGATCCTCCATGGAGGGGCCTGTCAGGCGTCCCGTGATCTCCGTGCCTGGACTCTGCTTGCTGTGTAAACACCCCCAACTGTGTCACTCTCTGGTTCTCTGAGGTTTCTTGTTTGATTCTCTTTAGGTCTGTGGCTTTCAGAATTTCAGATCCTTTGTCCTTGTAGCCACTAGGGAATAGAGCCCCAGAAGGGGAGCTTTTAGGACCAGAAGGACCTGGGCATCCAGAAGACATTGGGACCCTGTTGGGGGAGAGCAGGAATCCTCTTACTCTCGCTCCACCCTCTCAAGCTCCTTAGATATTGGGTAGAAGTGAGATGAGTGGCCCAAGACCAAGGCCCGTCCCTGAGGTTCTGAGAATATCTTCTCTAACCTGGCTTTCCTCTGTCCTTGCAGTTGTTCCCACAGCCTTTCAGTGAAGTGCAAACTCAGTGGCCAAGCATGGGCCAAGTGTGCATTGTACTGGCGCAGAGAGGGGCAGTGATTCACAGGAATCGAAGGGCTGGCCCAGGCCAAGTGGGCCCTTTCCCAGACCTTTCTTGGCACACAGCCTTTGCTGTCTAGCCTTTGTGGCCCTGTGGCCTACATTCTCTGGGCCCCACTATGTGCCTGGCAGAGGGCTAGTGCCTTGAGGAAACTGAGGTAGCTGGGCTGGTCCCCCTCTAGGAATTCAGAGTCTGGTGGTGGGGGCATGGAAGACAGACAGGTATGATTCTTTAGCCTGGGCCTGGCATCCCCCACCCCCACCAGCACTGCCTTACACCTCCCTTGCACCATGCTACATGGTTTCTTCTGCTTTTCCACTATGGCTGCCCCTTGGAGTCTCCCGGGGATCTGTAATGTCTCCTTGGAGATTCAGATTGAGTTGGTCTAGGTTGTGGCCCAGGCATTGCATTTTTCAGAAGCCCCCAGGTGTTTCCAGCGCACAGCCAGGCCAAGAGCCCCTGGGCCTAACCCTCATGGTTGAGGCACACCTCGGGGGAGGGGTGGCTCCTGGACCCCACCATGGTTGTAGAGCTGAGTGTGTGTGACTCTGATGAGGTTCATTAGTTATGGGGGTCTGGGCACCAGAGCTGTAGGATGCACGGGAGCCCAGGGCAGAAGGGGCCAGATGAGCAACTAGGAAAGACCTGGGGCCAGGGTGGAGTGGGAGTAGCTGACGCTCTTGTGAGGCCCCCTCTAGTGCTTGGCCACACTGGAATTTCATTGACTCCAAGAAGTCATCAGGGGTGAGATACCTTCCTTTAGTCATCACTAAGAAAGAAGAGGCCTGTCAGTGACACAGTAAGATGCCATTGATGTAAAGATGTGTCTTGATTTCAGAGAGGTCCGGAAGTGGAAAGCAGGTGTCAGGGCTGCTGAGTACAGGGTTCGCCTGTAGGCCTCAGGGATGGTCTCTTGGGGGTGCCAGGTGAGTGCATGGTAAATGGATGGAGCCCAAGAGGGCCTCCTGTAGGTGTCTTCCAAGCACTCAAATCTAGCCCTTCCAAAGCTGACCTCACCTGACCTCACGGTCTCTCTGAGGCAGCTTCACTGATGATCGTGGTGGGCTGAATAACAGCCTCCAAAGATGTCTAGGTTCTGAACCCCAGAACCTGAGAATATGTTCCCTTGCATAGTAGCAAAAGGGGCCCAGAGCCCAGTGCTTCAGTTCAGAATTTGTTTTTTTTGAGACGGAGTCTTGCTGTGTCATCCAGGATGGAGTGCAGTGGCATAATCACTACAACCTCCCGGGTTCAAGCAATTCTCCTGCCTCAGCCTCCCGAGTAGCTGGGATTACAGGCACGCACCACCATGCCCACCTAATTTTTTTTTTAAGAGATGGAGTTTCACCATGTTGATCAGGCTGGTCTCGAACTCCCGACCTTGTGCCACACGCCTCAGCCTCCCAAAGTGCTGGGATTACAGGCATGAGACACCACACCTGGTCTTTTTTTTTTTTTTTTAATGAATGAGAGGTTCTTATGTTGCCCAAGCTGGCCTTGGACGCATACCTTCACCTCCTCAAGTGCCGGGACAACTGGCCCGAGCCACCATGGCTCCCCAGGATTTCACGGTAGGGAGATGACCCTGGGTGGCTGAGGTGGGCCCTGAGTAATCATGGGGGCCTTTATAAGGGAAAGGGAGTCAGGAGGGTCTGCAAGTGAGGCAAGGAAGCTGCTGGATCTGAAGATGGCAGGGAGGCCCTGGGCCAGGCAATGAGGTGGCCCCTGGAGGAGCTGGAAGAGGCATCGGATTCTGCCCCAAAGCCTTGGCAGCGAAACGCAGCCGCATTCACATGACTTCAACCCCGTGAAAACCATTTTGGACTCCTGACCTCTAGAACTGTAAGATAATAAATTGGTGTGGTTTTCAGCCTTTAAGTTTGTGGTAATTTGTTAGCCCCAGTAGGAAAAACTGCTCATCCATCCAGAGGACACCTCACGAACCACCCAATCACCACCAAATTCTCCCTTCCTGTGACCACATTGCTATTTCAGGTCTTTGTCTGCACGTACAAATATGGCTGCCTCTTGCCAGGGTAGCCTTTATAGCACATCTGAAACTGCACACCTTGGCTTTTTGTTTTGTTTTTAGGGACAGGGCCTCACTGTCACCCAGGCTGGAGTATAGTGGTGTGATCACAGCTCACTGCAGCCTTGAACTCCTGGGTTCAAGTGCTGTGCTCCTCCTGCTTCAGCCTCCTAAGTAGCTGGGACTGTAGGAGGGAGCCACTTCGTCTGGCTAATTAAGAAGAAATTTTTTAGGCTGGGCGCGGTGGCTCAAGCCTGTAATCCCAGCACTTTGGGAGGCCGAGGCGGGTGGATCACGAGGTCAAGAGATCGAGACCATCCTGGTCAACATGGTGAAACCCCGTCTCTACTAAAAATACAAAAAATTAGCTGGGCATGGTGGCGCGTGCCTGTAATCCCAGCTACTCAGGAGGCTGAGGCAGGAGAATTGCCTGAACCCAGGAGGCGGAGGTTGCGGTGAGCCGAGATCGCGCCATTGCACTCCAGTCTGGGTAACAGGAGCGAAACTCCGTCTCAAAAAAAAAAAAAAAAAAAGAAATTTTTTTTTTTTTTGTAGTGACAGGGTCTTGCTATGTTGCCCTGGCTAGCATCAAACTCCTGAGCTCAAGTGATCCTCCTAGCTGAGCCTCCCAAAGTGCTGAGGTTACAGGTGTGGTCCACTGGGCCCAGCCTGCTTTTCTTTTTTAATTGTATGTACGTATATATGCAGTTTATATTTATACAGTTTGTAAGTAATATATATATAAACTTTTTATTTGAGTAAGCTTTTTTTTTGAGATGGAGTTTTCACTCTTGTCACCCAGGCTGAAGTGCAAATGGCACAGCCTCAGCTCGCTGCAACCTCCGCCTTCTGGGTTCAAGGGATTCACATGCCTCAGTCTCCCAAGTAGCTGGGACTACAGGCACCTGCCACCACACTTCAGTATACTTCAGTGTTTTTTTGTATATTCACAGGGTGGTGTAGCCATTACCACAGTCTAATTTTAAAACCGTTTTTTCCTACCATAAACAAAACCTGAACCATGAGTAGTCCCTCCCCACTGCTCCCCACCCTTCCTCATACTCTAGCCCGGGTAACCACCCATCTACTTCTTGCCTCCAGATTAGCCTCTTCTGGGCATTGCAGATAAATGCAATCACACATGTGGTCTCCTGGGTCTGGCTGCTGTTTGGCATCATGCTTCGAAGTCCACCCATGTTGTATATATTGTCATCCACATTTTTTTTGTTTTTTTAATTTTTTTGAGATGGAGTCTCACTCTGTCACCCAGGCGGGAGTTCAGTGGCTGGATCTCAGCTCACGGCAACCTCCACCTCCTGGGTTCAAGCGGTTCTCCTGCCTCAACCTCCTAAGTAGCTTATAGGCCTGTGCCACCGCGCCCAGCTAATTTTTGTGTTTTTAGTAGAGACTGGGTCTCACCATATTGGCCAGGCTGGTCTTGAACCCCTCGCCTAGGTGATCGGCTCGCCTCAGCTTCCCAAAGTGCTGGGATTATAGATGTGAACCACTGCGCCCAGTCCTCGTGTTTATGGTTGAATAACTGTATTGTGTGGATGTATGGTACATTACTACTAATTCAACTTCACACTTTTAAAAAATTTTTCTAGTTTTCCCATAATGTCCCTTTCTGCTTTAGGGTCCCTTCTAGGACACCACATTACGTTTAGTTGCCACATCTCCTTAACTTCCTCAGTCTGACAGCTTCTCAGACTTCACATGTGTTTGTTGACTGACAGTTTCAAGGAATGCTGGTTAGGTATTTTGTAGAATATTATTATTTTTTTTTTGAGATGGAGTTTCGCTTTATTGCCCAGCAATTACGGGTGTGAGCCACTGCGCCTAGCCTATAATTTTTTTTTTTTTTTTTGAGGCAGAGTTTTTCTCTGTCACCCAGGCTGGAGTGCAGTGGTGCGATCTCTGCTGACTGTAACCTCTGCCTCCTGGGTTCAAGTGATTCTCCTGCCTTAACCTCCAAACTAGCTGAGATTACAGTCACCTGCCACCATGCTCTGCTCATTTTTATATTTTTAGTAGAGATGGGGTTTCACCATGTTGGTCAGTGGGTCTCAAACTACTGACCTCAGGTGATCCTCCTGCCTTGGCCTCCCAAAGTGCTGGGATTACAGACATGTGCCAACGCATCCGGCCTCAGAATATTCTTTAAAAAATTTTTTTTAATTTAAAATAATTTTTTTTCTGAAGATAAGGTCTCACTATATTACCCAGGCTGGTCTTGAACTCCCAGGCTCAAGCAATCCTCCTGCCTCAGCCTCCCATGGTCTTGGCGATTATAGGTGTGAGCCTCCACACCCAGTTGAATGTTTGGGCTTCTCTGATACTCTTTCTCATGAATAGGCTTGGGTTGTGGAGTTTAGGGAGGAAGACCACAGTGGTGAA